ACATGAAACAATGCTCAACATCACTCATCATCAGGGAAATACAAATCAAAGCCACAATGAGATATTACCTCACACCTGTCAGAATGGCTAACATCAACAACTCAGGCAACAACAGATGTTGGCAAGGATGCGGAGAGAGAGGATCTCTTTTGCACTGCTGGTGGGAATGCAAACTGGTGCAGCCACTCTGAAAAACAGTATGGAGGTTCCTCAAAAATTTTTAAATAGAACTATCCTATGACCCAGGAATTGCACTACTAGGTATTTATCCAATGGATACAGGTATGCTGTTTTAAAGGGGCACATGCACCCCAAAGTTTATAGCAGCACTATCAACAATAGCCAAAGTATGGAAAGAGCCCAAATGTCCATCGATGAATGAATGGATAAAGAAGATGTGGTACACACACACACACACACACACACACACACACACACACACACACACAATGGAGTATTACTCAACAATCAAAAAGAATGAAATCCTGCTATTTGCAACTACCTGGATGGAACTGGAGGGTACTATGCTAAACGAAATTAGTCAGAGAAAGACAAATATCATATGACTTCACTCATATGAGGACTTTAGGATAAAAACAGATAAACATAAGGGAAGGGAGGCAAAAATAACATAAAAACATGGAGGGGGACAAAACATAAGAGAATCTTAAATATGGAGAACAAAAAGGGTTGCTGGAGGGGTTGTGGGAGGGGGATGGGCTAAATGGGTAAGGGGTACTAGGAAATCTACTCCTGGAATTATTGTTGCACTATATGCTAACTAACTTGGATGTACATTTAAAAATAAATAAATTATTAAAAACAAAACAAAGAGCAGAGACCAAATGCAAGAACGGTAAGTAAATTATTGCTCAGTGAAGCGGTGAGAAGCTCAAGGGTTATTCCACAGCACAGAATCCACACTTGGCAGGCTTTTCAAGGCCACAGACCTTGGGCCTTGCATGCAGCTCTCTGAGACCATGCAGTCTCAGTGAGAAACTGCCTGCTGGGAGACACAGTCGCTCCTATATCCTTGATTCTTAGTGAGTATGCATGTCAAAGGTTTACATTACAACCAGGAGGCCAAAGGACTGCAGGACCAGTCTGCTGGTCCTTGTGGCCAGGGCCACATTCTATGTTTGGAGGATCATTACCTCTCTTGGCAGGCTAGGAGGCACTTGTCTCAACCACACAGATGTTGGGAATGGAAATATCCCAAAGGGCCGACTACACTGTCCATGGATGTGTAAAATTGCCAGGAGCACAGTCAGCTCAGTAATTGGCCATGCAGGTTGTGGAGACCCAGACTGGCCTGAGCCGGAGAACCACAGAATGCCTGCCTGGATGATTGGAAGCCAAGGGCTGTCTATCTGTGACCTGATTGTCTACTGCTGATCGGTGGGATAGGATGAAGGATCCAGCTGGTGCCAGGAGATCCCCACCAACCCCCAAGAAGGCTGCACATGGGGGCTGATAGGCCACTGCAACCAGACATGTGTATCCATACATGTCCACCGAGGGCCCTTGCCAGTCAGAGCTGTGCTGGAACCTGGGGCTGCCCAGGCAGAGTGGGGCCAGCAGCACCCTTCCCAGGAGGGTGGATGGAAGGGACCTACACAAGCTCTGAGGCCATCCACAACTCTTGACTGGGGTTGAGTTGGATTTGATACAGTGGCCAGATAGATATTTCACTCTTCTTTTAGAGCCTAACACTGATGGGCAGAAAAGAATTGCTCTAGCTCAAACTCTAAGGCAAATGTCACCACAGGTGAGTTCTGTCCATCCTAGAGGTTCACAGAGATAGAGGAGAGATAGAAGATGAGGAAGAGGGTCACTTATACAAAAACCAAACCCTGACCCTGACCCTGACCCTGGCCCTGACGCAGAACATGAACCTGACCCAGACCCAGACCCTGACCCCAACCTAGATCCTGAACCTGACCTCAAGCCTGACATTGACCCCAACCCATGACCCTAACCCTAATCCTAACCCTAACCCCAAGCCCTAACCAGTTCTTTGGAGATAGCAATACTGTTAATGAGACTTTTAAGTTTTGCTCTTTTGCAAAAAGTTCATCAGCTACTTCATGTTTATACTGGCACTGTATCTTCCCAAATGCACTTGGATAATTCTTTCAGTGTGTTCTTGCAGGCTTCACTATTCTGCTTTCATGGCTTCTTTAAGCAGAGATGTCCAGGAGGCATGCATGACTCTGGGTTTGCCTTTGTAGGGAGAACCTTTCTCCCCTAAGTCAGAATAAGTGCCGATAAATATTTCAGTTTGCTACTTTCAGAGTAGAGTCCTAGTCTAGAACTGCCATACAATTTGGAATTATGTTACTTGTTCTGTTTGTATAATGATTTTTAGTTTTCTATTTTGTACCCTGTCAAACTTCTCAAAAACAATGTACCAAATAAGGTGATGGCTGGCTCTACGCTTCAAGATGATTTCCAGTGCTTATGATCTTGATAAATATGCACTATAGATGGGAAGTGCCTGAGCATTCTCCGTCCTGACCTTCCTTATTATTCAAATATGGCCTTAAGTGTTTTCCAACTACTATGCACTTTCCCTCTGATGTGTACAATATGACAACCAGAAAAAGTCCTTCCTGGAACTGAGGGACAAAACCACTAAATATGGAAAACCCTGACTCTCGATCAGCAATGCTTTCAAAGAAAGATCTTGATCAAAAGGGGGAAGTGTGAAAATCAATAAAAAATAAACCTCATTTAACTATAGACAACAAACTGAGGGTTGATGAAGGGGAGGAGAGGGGAGAGGAGGTGGGCAAAGGATGGGCTAAATGGGTGATGGTTATTTTTTTTAATTTTTTTTAAGTTTATTTATTTTTGGGACAGAGAGAGACAGAGCATGAATGGGGGAAGGTCAGAGAGAGAAGGAGACACAGAATCTGAAACAGGCTCCAGGCTCCGAGCTGTCAGCACAGAGCCCGACGCGGGGCTCGAACTCACGGACCGCGAGATCATGACCTGAGCCGAAGTCGGACGCTCAACCGACTGAGCCACCCGGGCGCCCCTAAGGGTGATGGTTATTAAGAAGGTCACTTGTTGGGATCAACACTGGGTGTTATATGTGACTAATCACTAAATTCTACTCCTTAAACCAATGTCACACTATGTTAACTAACTAGAATGTAAATAAAAAATTGATACTAAAAAAAAAAAGGAAACCTTATTTAGAATGGAGTTGGAGGCCAGCAGGAGGAGCTCTCATGCCTTACAATACTACTTTAGCTATTACTTTCCCAAGGAGCAGTAGGAAAGTTTCAACCTGACCTGGCAACACCTCAGCCAGTGAGAAACGACTACACTTCCGGCTCCCAGTTTACTCCAATGGACTTTCTGTTTACAACAGCCCCTCACAACGCCTGCCTTTCCTCTACAAAAGAGCCTCTTCTAGTGTTTTGGTCTACCTTGCTGGTCTTCCATTGCAATTCTCTGCTATTTCTGAATAAACCTATTTTGGCTGGTAAAATAACTGGCAGTTTTATTTTTTAAAGTTAACACTTTATTTTGATTTATGTCTTTAAAAGCCTTATCTTCAAATACAATCACATTCTGAAGTACTAAGGGTTAGGACATCAACATATAAATTTTTTGGAAGGACACGATTCAACCCATAACAAGGACCCTTGTAAGGGAGGAGGTGTTTTTTGTTGTTGTTTTCTTTGGTTTTTCTTAAAAGTCAACAAAGTGTAGAGATTCAAAGCACAGGCTGAGTCAGATTGATAGCTCTAATTCTTGACTCTGTGGCTGTTTAGCTTTGTCACTTTAGGCATGCTACTTCAACATTTCTTTGTCTGCAATAAGGAACAATGACCAACTACTTTAAAGGGTTCTCGGGATGATCAAATGAAATAACTTCAACGGCTCGACCTAGTGCATGGCAGGTGATAAACCAGATAAACCCCAGCTGTTGTTTAGCAGTTATTAACACTCATGGTGAATGAGCACTGGTGAGAAGGTGGTAGAAACCTACAGTCATCCGAGCTTGAGGTGACAGACTTGTTTTAGAGACATCGCATGTAATGCCTGGAGACACAACCTGAAGTCTGTCTGGGGCATGGGAATGGGGTTTGGGTACACGCAACTTATCCGGGAAAGTTCTCGGAAGTGTTAGGGCGTGAGGAGAGCGGAAGAAGGCAACAGGGATGCAACCCCAGGAGCTGCAAGCACAGACTGCACCAGAGCTAACCTCCTCTGAGGCAAAGTGGCTGGACCTTGGCACTGCAACCTGTCAAGCACGGGCTCCGGTTGTGTGCGGAGCGGTACCCTACGGGGAGTTCAGCGGCCCCCAGCAGCCTAGGGCGATTCCCCAGAGGAGGGGGCGGCTATGAGCTACCGGTCCCCAGCACACACAGAAGCCGAGGACAGAGGCACCGTCCAGTAAGGGGTCTGGAACGGCGCCTCAACAATGTCTTGGAGTGTACTTGGCACAGGGACACCCTAGTCCAGGAAGTCAGCTTGACCTTCTCTAGGTCACTTAGCGATGTAACGGCGGCCCAACTTGAAGCCCAGCTCAGAGAAGGCGCCCGCTGCTCAGACCTGCCCAAGAAAGGTGAGGGTTCTGACAGCGAAGGCACCAGACTCAGGAGGCTGAGGTGACACATGCGAAAGCTCCCGGCAGGAGGAATGGCACACGTTAGGCTTTCCTACCCGCGGGAAACACACCCGACACCTCCATCTGGAAAGCGGGGGCGGGGCCTCGCGGGCGGGAGGGAAGGCGCAAGCGCGCGCGCCGGAAGTACTCGCAAGAGGACTCTGGGATTACCGGCACCCGGAAGCGTCCGGCTGTTTTGCATATTTCTGGCGCGCCGGCGGACGTGATGACGCCACGAGTCGCCGCCTGTTACGCGTGCCAGTTCAAGCTTGTTCAAGGGCTGCTCCCGGAAGAGCCGGTGCCGAGGGAGACTCGGGAGGGAGCTCGCAATTGTGAGGGGGGGGGGGCACGGGTCCTGGCCCTGCGGGTGGGCACGATGCGGCTGGGCTCCGGGACCTTTGCCGCCTGCTGCGTAGTGATCGAGGTGCTCGGGGTCGCGCTCTTCCTTCGAGGATTCTTCCCGGCTCCGGTTCGTTCCTCTTCTAGGACGGAGCACCAAGCAGAGCCCCCAGCGCCCGAACCCTCCACTGGTACGGACCCCTCCCCGGCCGTCTCCGCTCCCCTGGCCCCACTTTCTCCAGAGAACCTTCCTTATGAGCCTCGCCTCTTGGACTTCTCGGGCTACCGGTGCTCGTCTCTTTCATTCTGGTCTCCACACCCAGGAGCCCCCTTTTTACCACCCCAGCCTCTTTCTGTGTCGTTTTGTGGCAACCACCGCTACTAGCCCGCCTCGAATCTCCTCCCTGGTCGCCGCAAAGAAAGCCATCCACACCCTGGTTCTTGCCTCCCCCCGGGTCTGCTCATCCAGCTAACACCCCCCGCCCCCTTCCCTGGACAGGCCTTTGGGTCACTCCCTTTTCTAGGCGCCTTTTTTGGTTAATAAGACATAACAGGTAAGATACTTGCTGACCCCTCGCGTTTTCTTCTATGACATTCTTCTAAGAGGTTGGTTTTTGTTTGTTTGTTTTATTCTCCCCAGTAGCCCTCACCTACCCAGCAGTACAAAAGGTTCTCCCGCTTGGACCAGGGCCACGCAATACCAGCCACTGACCATGTAAACACAATTTGTAAATGCTTCCCTATCTCCTACCTGCAGCACTGTTTTGAATCAGTCTCCCTAAAGGTCCAATCTTCAGGACCTTCACGAAGGGACTCCCCTTTTCCAGTATTCACCATGCAGAGGGCAATTTACTGCTTCATACTGGGGCTCTCAGTGTATTTGTCACCCCCGCATTGTCTACCAGTAACAGGTCCTTTTCTTTGGATTGAGGTAGGTAGATATGACAATATATATGGTGCAAAAGTAGATTACAAGCTGCTTGGACGCTAAGTACGGTTTAAAGTTCAATTTCCTTTTTTCTTTCAAACCTTTTTAGGAGCCAGTTCCAACTGGACCAAGCTCCCACCACCCCTCTTCAGTAAAGTTGTTATTATGCTGATAGATGCCTTGAGAGATGATTTTGTGTTTGGGTCAAAGGGTGTGAAATTTATGCCCTACACGACTTATCTCGTGGAAAAAGGAGCATCTCACAGTTTTGTGGCTGAAGCAAAGCCACCTACAGTTACTATGCCTCGAGTCAAGGTAAATGGTTTGACTTCCTTTGTTATATATGGGTTGATCTTTGGGAGGTTTGAAGGGGCTGTACTCTTTTACTTGGAGTCCCAATTTTTGCTAAGTAGAAGTTAGTTTGGTGTTGTCAACCTGGCTGGGACAATAAAATGCTGAAGAAGCCTCACAAGGTAGGCTAGAACTGAGACCTGTGATTTATGTCCCCTGTCAAGTAGCCAAAGTTCACACTTCATGGAAAGCGTAAAGTATTTAGATCCAGATCATTCAGGTCAGCCTGATCCAAGAGCTAGTGTCCTCCTTGCTAACCTGGTCTCTAATTGTCAGTGGGTCACCTACATTCCAGAAAGGAGCCTTTAGGGTTAATCCAGTTCATTCTTTTGACTTTATAGATGAGAAAGCAAACTCAGATAAGTTCAATGACTCGTCAACAATTGTGGTATGCACAGTGATCAAACCTGCATGATCTGGCCGTTTCTAGTGTTTCTAGTGAATACCTGTTTCAGGTATTCAGCCTAGTGAGTGTGGCTTTAAAGCACATGGTGCTTTACCCAAGAACTATGAGTTGAAGAAAAAAAAAAGTACAGCTTGATTGATTGGCTCAAGAACTGTTTATTAAGCAACTACTATGTGTCAGTATTGTAATGGGTATGCCTTTGGGGGAAAATAGTATCTACCTTCATGGAGCTTTTAGTCACTTAGGAGAGACCTAGCCATTACACAAATGAGTAGACAAATTAATGTTCACTTTTAAAGTGTGATTAATGCATGATGAGAAAGAATAGGATGTGATGCTCCTTGCTGGGTGGGTTAGGAGGAGCCCCAATTTAGATTGAGGGTCAGAAAAGCCTGTCTGAAGAAATTACATTCAAGTTAAGCTGAGGATGAGTAAAGAGGAGGCAGCAGAAAGGGACAGAGGAGCTTAAAAGTTTGTGACTATGTTGCTAGCATGGTATAAAAGTCCTAGCTAAGCCTTACATCTATGGCTGATCATGTGACACGTCAATATTTGATGAGACGGAGCCACTTCTTGATTCAAAGCTTGGGGCAGCATTTAGTAGGTACTCAGTAACTGTTTACTGGATGGAGAAAACAGCCTGGGATTGTAAGGATTAAAACCACATCTTTCATTGGCTCTTTTTCTTGAGTTTCCCACTCTCTGCCACTTTTGGATGTAGTGTGTCCGTCATTAAGCAATATTTATTGAGCATCTTCTGTGTACCACACAGTTTTAGATAAGAGGGATTCAGTGAGGAACAAGACAGCAAGTGCCCTATCCTCATGGAGCTTAATTTCTGATTGAGGGGACAGAAAATATGTAAGTATACAAATAAATAATCAAAGTTTCAGAAAGTGATAAGTGCTATGGAAGAAATCAGGGAGGAGAACATGATGGAGTGATGAGGAGTGGGAGGTGGGGAACACCTTTAGTCAAGAAGCTCAGGAATGGTCTCTTAAGAGTACTCCTTCTGTTGAGCCCAGTCTTGTGAAAGCTGGAAGAAAAGCATTCAGGCTCCTTACCATCAGGAGCACTGTCTTTATCTGTTCTATCAGAAGTATGGAAGGAACCCGTTCCTCCTTCGTTCTGGTAAGAAAAGTATTACTAGGAATCTGAGCAGGTGTGTAACAAAATGTGTAAATGGGTGTGCAGACCTGTATGTGGGCCACTGTGGTTCTTAGGGCCTCCCGTCTCCAGCCCATTTGTGTCATTTCATGAAACCGGTGTTTTGTTTCATTTTGTCTGTTTTGTCTTCAGTCCTTTACAGGTTCTTGGTCCTCGTTCCTCATCAAGGAGGAGCTAGAACAGGAAGTCCATACTGGAGTTAGGGTTACACAGCTCTAGAATTTGGTGGGATTGGGTAGTGTTGGGTAAGGAGTGTGCCCCCTACCCTGCCTTCCGTTAGTGAAGGGACTTCAGTAATCTCAAAGTGTTGATGCAATTGTCACAAAATGCTGACCTAAATGACTCCAGACTAATGCCCCTCATAGCGTTTGGTCGTGTTAACTAATATGTGACTGCTTTTCCTTTCTTCAGGGAATTTATAGTCACAATAAGGAACAGGTACTGAACAACTGACTGCAGTGAGCACAGAGCACAGGCATTTTCTCATGTGCTGTCACAACAGCCCCATGTTAGGCTTCGGGAGGCAGGTACTGCCATCTTCTCCATTTTCCAGATGAGGAAACAGGCTTGAAGTGGTAAAACCACACAGGAGACATCAGAAACCAAGCCTAAGCCTATGTGTGTGTGGCTCCAGAGCCTCTGTTGGTCACAGTGAGTTTACACAGCAGTGCTGCCCAATAGAGTGACCAGGCCACATCCTCTTCCAGTAGTCTCTGCAGAGCCCTCCTTCAGTCTCAGAAGGCAAGAAACTACTATTCCCAAGGCCACAGCAACCACAGGAAGACCTCCAAGGTGATGTCAGGCTTGGGCTCTCACTTAGACTTCCCAGGGCTCTCAGCTGCCTGCATGCCTCCTGCAGGCATGCAGGAGGGTGAAGGGTACTAAATAGTCCCTGCCCTCCTTGAAAATGTCAGTGGAAACCCAGCCTAGTATGAGAAGGAGGCAAGTGCCTTATAAAAGCCCCTGGGAAAAAGATGGACAGATTAGACCACGTGGAAACAGAAAACCTTTATGTGGTGGAAGACACTATAAACTAAGTCAACTGACAAATGATAAACTTGGAAAAATCATTTACAGCTGAGATCACAAACAAGATGTTAAGCCCGTGATGTGTAAAGAGAATCTGACGGAAAACAATCCAGTGGCAAAGGATATAAAGAACCCCACAAAGGAAGACATTGAAATGGCGAGTAAACATAGGAAAAGATGTCTTTACTAGTAATCAGGGCAAAGCAAACTAAATCAATCTGTAAACCCAGTTTTTGTCTATCACGTTGTAAAAACTTAAAGATTGGTGATGACCTCTTCCTCACACGAAATGAGGTGGACAGGTACTCTCAACACTGAGCCAACCCCCGCACTGCCTGTCCAAACAAAGCAGCTCGTGGTGCGCTGGCTTAAACTCGGTGCTAACCCAGGCCTTGAGGCTACATGGTCCTGTCCCTGTTTACCTGTCCACCCTCATCTGAGCTGCCTTCCCTCTTGCTGTGTCATTCATCCACAAGGATCCCCATAGCTCTCCGTACCCCAAGTGTGCTGCCCTCCTTCAACCTTGGGGCCTTCACAGATTGCAGTGCTCCCCCTTGGAGAGCCCCACTTCACCTCCCTTCCCCTCCCCTAGACAACATGTCAGCCTTCAGATCTCAGCTCAGATGGCACTTCCATTGGAAGCTTTTTAAAATAAACGTCCATTAAAATGGTCTTGGTCCCAATACTGGATTACTTTGTAGGTGCTAAAAAAGAAGCAGCAGCAGCACCTGTGTGTTTTCTGGGGAAAGAAGTTCATGATACGTTAGCATTTGAAAAACAAAAGCAAGTTGTGGAATTATTTACATAGTTTGTTACCATTTTGGTAAAGTAAAATATGTACCTTTGTGATTGTACACATACAGGGAAAGGTACGGTATGATACTCCCCAAGAGTAACTGGTTACCTAGAAGCAGTAGGATTTCAGGGAGGGGGAGAGGCTCACATTTTAAAAAATAATTTCATTGAGATAGAATTTTCATACAGTGCAGCGCATACATTTTTATGTGCACAGTTTGGTGAGATTCAACAAATGTGGTATAGCCATGCAACCACCACCACACTCTGGACTTTGATCCGCTACCCCAGGAGTGGTGGTTGTTGCTGTCATTTTGTTGGTTTGTTGGTGTAATCACTTGCCTAAACTCTTTCTGTAGAGTGTGTCTCCTCTGGAGTGCACAGTAACGGGTATGCTCATTTTTGTTTTAAATTCTTGTGTTTTATTTTTAAGCTGGTCTTCTGAAAGGTTACCCCTTGGTGAGCATAGTTAGTGGTTAGCCAATGATTGTCAGAGGTTGTGCTTAAATACATTATGCAGTGGGCCTTCGACCCTTTCCAGGGCTCTGTGTATGGTTTGTTCTCACTGTTCAGGCACCTAGTAAGCCTGCCTTCTCACTTTCTGTGTGAGCAGTGCCTTTTGCTCAGCTGGAAGGAACCGGTAACTAGGCACTGTCTGATCTCTCCTGAGTGCACACTCAGCCCCGTGTGTGCATCCAGATTTCAGGAATATGTGGGAGCTTACAGAAATATGCTATAGCTGTCCTTTATATATATTATAATTATATATATTATATATAATTTATTGTCAAATTGGTTTCCATACAACACCCAGTGCTCATCCCAACAGGTGCCCTCCTCAATGCCCATCACCCACTTTCCCCTCTCCCCCACTCCCCATCAACCCTCAGTTTGTCCTCAGTATTTAAGAGTCTCTTATGGTTTGCCTCCTTCCCTCTCTGTAACTCCCCACCCCCCTTCCACTGCCCCTTGGTCTTCTGTTAAGTTTCTTGGGATCCACATATGAGTGAAAACATGGTATCTGTCTTTCTCTGCCTGACTTATTTCACTTAGCACAGTACCCTCCAGTTCCATCCACATTGCTGCAAATGGCAGGATTTCATGCTTTCTCATTGCCAAGTAGTATTCCGTTGTATATATAAACCACATCGTCTTTATCCATTCATCGCTTGATGGACATTTAGGCTCTTTCCATAATTTGGCTATTGTTGAAAGCACTGCTATAAACATTGGGGTACATGTGCCCCTATGCCTCAGCACTCCTGTATCCCTTCCTAGTGGTGCTATTGCTGGGTGATAGGGTAGATCTATTTTTAATTTTTTGAAGAACCTCCACACTGTTTTCCAGAGCGGCTATACTGGCTTGCATTCCCACTAAGAGTACAAGAGGGGTCCCATTTCTCCACATCCTCGCCAGCATCTATAGTCTCCTGATTTGTTCATTTTAGCCACTCTGACCAGTGTGAGGTGGTATCTCAGTGTGGCTTTGATTTGTATTTCCCTGATGAGTGATGTTGAGCATTGTTTCATGTGTCTGTTGGCCACCTGGATGTCTTCTTTGGAAAAGTGTCTATTCATGTTTTCTGCCCATTTCTTCACTGGATTATTTTTCGGGAGTTGGGTGAGTCCTTTATACATTTTGGATATTAGCCTGATATGTTATTTGCAAATATTTTTTCCCATTCCCTCAGTTGCCTTTTGTTGATTGTTTCCTTTGCAGTGCCGAAGCTTTTTATCTCGAGGTCCCAATAGTTCATTTTTGCTTTTAATCCCCTTGCTTTTGGAGATGTGTCGAGTAAGAAATCACTGCAGCCGAGGTCAAAGAGGTTGTTGCCTGTTTTCTCCTCTAGGGTTTTGATGGTTTCCTGTCTCACATTCAGGTCTTTCATCCGTTTGGGGTTTATTTTTGTGTATGGTGTAAAAAAGTGGTCTAGTTTCATTCTGTGCAGAACTGCTGTGCAGTTCTTCCAGCACCATTTGCTGAAGAGACTGTCTTTTTTCCATTGGATGCTCTTTCCTGCTTTGTCAAAGGTTAGTTGGCCATACATTTGTGGGTCCAATTCTGGGTTCTCTATTCTATTCCATTGGTCTATGTGTCTGTTTTTGTGCCAGGACCATACTGTCTTGATGATTACAGCTTTGTAGTAGACGCTAAAATCTGGGATTGTGATGCCTCCCACTTTGGTTTTCTTCTTCAATATTACTTTGGCTATTCGGGGTCTTTTGTGGTTCCATACAAATTTTAGGGTTGTTTGTTCTAGCTTTGAGCAGAATGCCAATGCAATTTTGATTGGGATTGCATTGAATGTGTAGATTGCTTTGGGTAGTATTGACATTTTAACAGTATTTATTCTTCCAATCCATGAGCGTGGAATGTTTTTCCATTTCTTTGTGTCTTCTTCAGTTTCCTTCATAAGCTTTCTATAGTTTTCAGCATACAGATTTTACATCTTTGGTTAGGTTTATTCCTAGGTATTTTATGATTCTTGGTGCAATTGTGAATGGGATCAGTTTCTTTATTTGTCTTTCTGTTGCTTCATTATTGGTGTACAAAAATGCAACTGATTTCTGTACTTAATTTTGTATCCTGCGACTTTGCTGAATTCATGTATCAGTTCTAGCAGACTTGTGGTGGAGTCTGTCGGGTTTTCCATGTAGAGTATCCATGTCATCTGCGAAAAGTGAAAGTTGGACTTCTTTGTCAATTTTGATGCCTTTTATTTCATTTTGTTGTCTGGTTGCTGATGCTAGAAATTCCAACACTATGTTAAACAACAGTGATGAGAGTGGACATCCCTGTCATGTTCCTGATCTCAGGGAGAAAGCTCTCAGTTTTTCCCCATTGAGGATGATATTAGCTGTGGGCTTTTCATAAATGGCTTTTATGATGTTTAAGTATGTTCCTTCTATCCCAACTTTCTCTAGGGCTTTTACTAAGAAGAGATGCTGTATTTTGTCAAATGCTTTCTCTCCATCTATTGACAGGATCATATGGTTCTTATCTTTTCTTTTATCAATGTGATGTATCACATTGATTGATTTGTGAATGTTGAACCAGCCCTGCAGCCCAGGAATGAATCCCACTTGATCATGGTGAATAATTCTTTTTATATGCTGTTGAATTCAATTTGCTAGTATCTTGTTGGGAATTTTTGCATCCATATTCATCAGGGATATTGGCCTGTAGTTCTCTTTTTTTGCTGGGTCTCTGTCTGGTTTGTGAATCAAAGTAATGCTGGCTTCATAGAATGAGTCCGGAAGTTTTCCTTCCCTTTCTATTTTTTAGAACAGCTTGAGAAGGATAGGTATTATCTCTGCTTTAAATGTCTGGTTGAATTCCCCAGGGAAGCCACCTGGTCCTGGACTCTTATTTGTTGGGAGATTTTTGATAACTGATTCAATTTCTTCACTACTTGTGGATCTGTTCAAATTTTCTATTTCTTCCCGTTTGAGTTTTGGAAGAGTGTGGGTGTCTAGGAATTTGTCCATTTCTCCCAGGTTGTCCAGTTTGTTGGCATATAATTTTTATAGTAGGCCCTGATAATTGCTTATATTACAGAGGGATTGGTTGTAATAAATCCATTTTCATTTGTGATTTTATCTATTTGGGTCCTTTTTTCTTTTTGAGAAGCCTGGCTAGAGGTTTATCAATTTTGTTTACTTTTTCAAAAAAAATAACTCTTAGTTTCATTGATCTGCTCTACTGTTTTTTTGTTTTTGTTTTTGTTTTTGTTTTTAGATTCTATATTGTTTATTTCTGCTCTGGTCTTCATTATTTCTCTTCTGCTGGGTTTGGGATTTCTTTGCTGTTCTGCTTCTAGTTCCTTTAGGTGTGCTGTTAGATTTTGTTTGGGGGATTTTTTCTTGTTTCTTGAGATAGGCCAGGATTACCATGTATTTTCCTCGTAGGACTGCCTTTGCTGCATCCCAAAGGGTTTGGATTGTCATGTGTTCGTTTTCATTTGTTTCCGTATATTTTTTAATTTCTTCTCTAATTGCCTGGCCGACCCATTCGTTCTTTAGTAGGATGTTCTTTAACCTCTATGCATTTGGAGGTTTTCCAAACTTTTTCCTGTGGTTGACTTCAAGTTTCATAGCATTGTGACCCAGATGACACTTTTAAATGTTAGGCCTTTCTCTTACCAGAAACAGCACTGACCCCTCAGGCAGCTGTAAGGTTGGCCTTGCTTGCTTCCAACACATCCCTGGCATGGGACTTCTCTGAGCAGCTCCAGGTCAGACGGATCCCCATGACTGCTATATCGCAGGGGTATGTTAAACAGCACAGGGACTCACAGCTCTTCCTGAGATTCAGTAGTTTGTCTTAGATAAGAACTTCTCAATTTGTTTTATATCCTTGATGAGCTTTCAAAGTCTGGAAATGGTTGCTTTTGGCAGTTTGGTCCCGTTTATCATTGCTCTTGTGGGAGGAGATATGCCAAGCTCCTCTAGCATTCCAGAAGTCAGGTTAATCCATATTTGCATTTTTGGCTGTTAAAGAAGTCCTGGAAAACTTAGTATGCCTGTTGGCACTGTCCAGATTTCTGTTTATTTCAGTACATAGGTCCCTGGGTGCCAGTATCATGGGGTGTTGGATAACTCCAGATCGTAGGAGACACATGACCTGTTACAATGGCCTCGTAGACTCTATGCTAAAATGAGGGAGGTTGTTGACATAACTCTACATCAGAAAGGTATTGGCAGTATGCCTCGCCTACCCTTTCTTCCCAGAAATTTCAGTAGGGTGTGTGTGTGTGTGTGTGTGTGTGTGGAGCAGGGGTGTCCCACCAGCAACCTGGGCCAGTTAACGATGGGAATTCCTGAGAGTTTTTGCTTAGAGACTGCTTTCCTCCCAGGTGTGTGTGAGAAGCTGTTCATCCACTCAAGGTGGACATTAGAGTTGCTGTGTTGTAAGATCAGTACATGGAGTTTGCTCATCACACAGCAGATTTGAAGCTTAGGTGAGGACCTGACAGGTGGTTGAGTAAACAGATTTGTGTTTTCGATGCATAACACACTTTGCCATCTGCTTCAGTTGCTGTAACTCACGGCTTTCCTGTCCACCACTGTCATCCAGCTGCCCGCAGCCGCCTCCATCCTCCCATTGGCTGAAATACAACAAAGTCTTTGTGATCAAGTTTGCTAGCTTTGCCAGAACGTATGTGCAGCTTTCCCGTTTGTCTTAACACTGACCGACCCTCCAGTGTCGAGGATGCCCTAGTCTTATGCTTTCCTCTTTCATCCATAAAATGATTTTTGGCACCCCTTCCCTCACTGTGCTTTGGATTCCATGGTCTAAGTTCTCGAATGTTTCCTCCTGCAGGCACTGATGACAGGGAGCCTCCCTGGCTTCATCGATGTTGTCAGGAACCTCAATTCCCCTGCACTGCTGGAAGACAATGTGATCACACAGGCAAAAGCAGCTGGGAAAAGAATGATCTTTTATGGAGATGAAACATGGGTGAAATTATTCCCACAGCATTTTGTGGAATATGATGGAACAACCTCATTTTTTGTGTCAGATTATACAGAGGTCAGGTTTTCAAATAAGAAAATTTTGTCATGATAGATGGAGTCTGATATACTCTTAGAGGCAACATCATTTTGTATGTGACTTTTACCCTCTTAGAGGCAACACTGTTTTGTATGTGGCTTTTATTAGTATATTGGGAGTAGTATGGAGAGGTTGTAAAAATTGTCCATTCATTCACATAATCAGTTACATTCCAGGGACATGAACCCTGATGCAGTTGTGATCAAAATTCTCTTGGAACAGCCAAGCACCTGTTGATGGGGGTACAGAGGATCAGGGCCAGCAAGGAGCCATTTAAGCTGAGTTTTGAGAAGTGAGTGGGGACTTCCCAAGTGGACAGAATGGCGGGCGCAGCATCTGTACAAGGCAGAGCCTGAGGACTCCGTCGCCTCTCTGGGATCTTTGAGGATGTTCTCCTGTTAGCGTGGTGGCATCCCCAGTGGGGAGGTGGGAGGACAGATGGTGAACTGGGCGGAGCCTGGTCCTGAGGGGCATTTCCCTGTGCTGGGAGTGCAGTCTCCAACAAGAAAGAGGGCATGATTAGTCCCGTAGTTAGAAAGCTGACCCTGGCTGAGACCCTGGATGTCTCAATCAGTTGAGCATCTCACTCTTTATTTCAGCTCAGGTCATGGTCCCAGGATGGTGGGATTGAGCCCGCATCAGGCTCTGTGCTGAGTGTGGAACCTACTTGAGATTCTCCCACCCTCCCTTTCTCCCTCTACCCCTTTCTGCCCACTCGTGTGCTCTCTCTAAAATAAATAAATAAATAAATAAATAAATAAATAAATAAATAAATAAATAAATAAATTTAAAGACAGTTGACCCTGGTCAACTCCAGAGGGAGTCCCCATAGAGTAGAGGCACACCCACAGCCGCTCAATTTGCTGGGCCTCATAGAGCATCTGCGGTCTTGCTTAGGTTGATATCCTTTCCTGAAGTTGACGTCTGTAGATGAAGCAGTTACTGAGTTTTCTTGTCCTCTCTCTCATCAATTAGAGACCCTTCCCTTTGTAGTGACTTTTCAGTGGGAGGGAGGTGGGCCAGCTGAGTGGTCAGGGCTGACCAGGCTCACGGCTCTGTCGGTGGCTGCTCTACTAGTTGCCGAAAGCTGTATCTTTCCTCCCAGAACAGCCTTCTCATAGGACACTCAGCTTCACCCCAGAGGTCACCTGAACTCTGGCACCTGTGTGACCTGGTTATCTGCTTAGTGTTAGTTCACTCCCAGCATGGATCCTGCAGAATGTTTTTTTTAGAATAATGCTTCTCATTGAAATTATCTGTATAACGTGTTCTATCTATAACTTAGAAATGTGAAACAGTATTAGTAAAAGCTTAATCTAATGCTAATATTTGTTTATTTTTTTTTATTTTTTTAATGTTTATTTATTTTTGAGAGAGACAGAGACAGAATGTGAGTGGGTTAGGGGCAGAGAGAGAGGGAGACACAGAATCCGAAGCAGGCTCCAGGCCCCGAGCTGTCAGCACAGAGCCTGACGCGGGGCTTGAACTCACGAACTGTGAGATCATGACCTGAGCCAAAGTCGGACGCTCAACCGACTGAGCCACCCAGGCACCCCTTGTTTATTTTTTTTATGACAGCTTTTTCTGTTTGTTTATTAGGGTTTTTTGCTCTTTTCAGACTCTTAGTCCTGTTACCTAAAATAAATGCTTAGGTTTTAAAAGGACTGTATCACTTTCTCTTGGAGAGTGAAGATCAAGGGAAACGAGGAGTTATTCGTACGTACTTTTCCCCCTTTACAGGTGGATGATAATGTTACAAGGCATTTGGATAAAGTATTAAAAAGAGGGGATTGGGATGTGTTAATCCTCCACTACCTTGGGCTGGACCACATCGGCCACATTTCCGGGCCCAGCAGCCCCCTGATCGGGCACAAACTCAGCGAGATGGACAACATCCTGATGAAGATTCACACCTCGCTGCTGTCCGAGGTGAGGCTCACTGTGGAGCGCCGTGGAGTGCTAGAGTCACTGTGCCAGCGTCTCCTAGGAGAAACCAAGTTCCTGAAGTGGACTTGGGACCTACGTGAACGCCACGCCCACCATCATTCAGTTCACCTGTAAGCACAGAGCACAGGCTCAGCCTCCAGCAGCTCTGGTTTTGTCTGCTACTCACCTATTTAAGCAGCTACTAGTTCCAGAATGCCTTTTATATCATTGTTCCTGTCTGGGCATCTGTGGAGCTTATACTCTTGCCAGGAAGGACAAACAAGGGGCATAATAAATGAATACACAAGTATACTGGAAAGTGATTAGTGCCAGAGGAGAGCATAGGGCAAGAGGTGGGAACAGCATCTGAGAAGTTGTGATTTTAAACGGTGAGATGAAAGCAGCTGTCCTTCAGGACGTGTGAGATGTGAGCGGAGCCTTGAAGGGAGAGAGGGGCGGATACGCCATCTGTGAAGGTGCGTTCCAGGTGAAGAGGCAGCAGCGGTAAGGCAGAGCCTGCTGGGCAAATCCAAGAACAGCAAAGGCCCTTTGCTGGAACGCTGGGGCTAAGGGGCAACCCCGTTTGACACACAGGAGACAGGCCTGACAAGGAGGGCACCTTGGCTCTCGCAGCTCGGCAATGGCAAAGACAGAAACCAAGCTCAAATCCTCTGCCTTCGGAGGCCCTAAATGTAACCCTCCTGGGCTCTGTGACCTCCAAGTGATTCTGTTTGTTTTATTTATGGTACTCTTTGACTTTAACCCTTTGATCTTGTAAGCTCATAGGTTAAAAAAAAGTCTAACATGTTTAGAAAGAGCTACTATTTATAAAGTACAGCTAAAATCTAAAGTTTTTCCTTAACAAGAGCATGCGTTCTCCTCAGTCTGAATGCAACTGAAATATTTTTCCTTTGCATTGTAGGAAAGAGAGAATCTTTCACCCAATTTGCTGGTTCTTTGTGGTGATCATGGAATGTCGGAAACAGGAAGTCACGGGGCCTCTTCCATGGAGGAAGTTAACACCCCCCTGATCTTAATCAGTTCTGCATTTGAAAGAAAGCCTGGTGAGGATTTAGGAATGTTTACTATTTTCCTTTTTTTTTTAATGTCTATTTTTAAGAGAGTGAACACGTGTGTGTGTGTGTGTGTGTGTGTGTGTGCACGCAGGAGGGAGGAGGCGGGGCGGGGGAGGGTGGGTAGAGAGAGGGGAGGACAGAAGATCCAAGCAGGCTCCATGCTGACAGCAGAGAGCCCGATGCGGGGCTTGAACTCATGAACCATGAGATCATGACCTGAGCTGAAGTTGGACACTTAACCGACTGAGCCACCCAGGCGCCCCGGAATGTTTACTGTTTTAAAACCGTATTTTACGTAACTTCTTTCTATAGTCTGATTTTAAATTTAAAAATCAATTTTTGGAAGCTGGGTGTGTTTGAAATACCCTGAGCAATGTGAAGATGAGAAGTAGTGGGACAGGGTGCAGCCAGGGTTTGGAGTTTACATTTCTTACCCCAATTCTTATAATGCAGACATTTCTTGTGGAAATTTTGTTGTATGAATGTCACTGCCTGAATATCTGGAGGTGTTAATAAAAATTACCAGCAGCTTGGAGACATCTGAACACATATATGAACTAAAAGAAAGAGACGTTAGTAATTAAAATTTTTATAAACTATCCATCTTTGGAAACTATTAAGGGTCAGAGCAGGACTACCTGAGGGCCCATCTTTCAGCATTAAGACACCCAACTCTCCACCCCAAACACACACGGGCAGCTCTGACCCGTGCAGGCCGGCCTGCTTCACAGCCATCTGCCCTCCCTCACCCTGCACTTGAGGCTGGCCTCTGCCTCCTCGCTTTACCACACGCTCACCTTCGCCCACCAGGTATTTCTGAGTTGAACACTCTGGCTTCCTTTCACGGAATCCTTCCATACCATTTGGCACTTCTGACCCCTAGTTCTGGGACCTCCCATTTGTCTGGTTTTCCTCCTAACTCTCACTTTGGTGTCTAGTCAGCTGTCTTTCTTCTCTGATCTCCAGCCTCCAGACTGTCTACTCAGCTGCCTGTCTGACACCTCCACTTGGGTCTCCCACAGGTAGAGCAAATACAACAGCTTCACATCCTAATCTGCCCTCTCATGTTGCTCTGCCAGCAAATGGCACCCTCGTGTGATTCTTCCAATCGGAAACCTAGGTGTCTCTCTTCACCCTCCTTCTCCCTTGCTCCCCACATTCCAGACCATCCCCGATCTCCCGTACATAAAACCTTCCAGTAGCTAAACTTTGGGTCAAGTAAGTCCTACATGAGGTTTCTTTCCTACCTCACAGCTTCATCCTGAGCCATATTCATCACTATTTGCTATGTCCTGGCCTCTGCCCTTCCCATGGGTCCTCCAAGTGACAAGCTCTTCCCCACATGCCCCCGACTCTGTCGCCACATCAGATCCAGTCATCCTTGGTTTCATCTGACGTCAGTTGCTCATCCACGAGACTAAATTGCCTTCCCTCTGTTCATTTTTCACAGCATTCTGTGCATCCTTCCACCATTCTTTGCTTAGATTGTAATTGAAGACTTAGATGTGACGCGTGTAATATCTGCCTCCTCTCTGCACTTCAGCTATAGTCAGGCATGACCTGGTCTATTTTGTTCATTGGTACATGCCTGCCTTGGGCCTAAACATTTCCTGGTATATGATCAGTGCCAAAAAGAATTGTTGAATGAATGAATCTTCCACTTGCTTGAGGATTGGTTGGGGCAGAATCTCCACTGACTTCCTTCTGTCTTTTAATAGTGCTTTCTCCCCTCGGACATCTGACCCCCTAAAATATAAGTCCTTGGCTCTTGTGACCTGGGCCTTTCCATTCTAGGTGTCTTGCCTGCCTACCAGTGAAGGCTCTACTCACCAGAGCACCAACTTCCTACACCTGACTTTCCCATACTGTGTACCCAAAGCAGGGTCCTGTGTGGCTCCCCTATACCTGAGTGAGAGCCCATGCCAGAAACAGTCTTTTCACTCATCCATCCATTGGAGGTACGCTGAGTACCTGTGGTGGGCCAGGCACTACACTGGACACTGTGGGCAGCCTTCACCCTCAGGGGCCTCGTAGTGTGGGGAGGAAGAGAGACAACCAAGTGGGTGGTTTTTATTGTGCATTGTTAGGTTATTGTTGAACTACAGCGTTGAAGTTTCGTCTTCAAGGTGGGCATTTAAGAATCTCCTTGGGGGCGCCTGGGTGGCTCAGTCGGTTGAGCGTCCGACTTCAGCCCAGGTCACGATTTCACGGTTCGTGAGTTCGAGCCCCGCGTCAGGCTCTAGGCTGATGGCTCAGAGCCTGGAGCCTGCTTCCGATTCTGTGTCTCCCTCTCTCTCTGCCCCTCCCCCATTCGTGCTCTGTCTCAAAAAGTAAATAAATATTTAAAAAATTAAAAAAAAAAAAAAGAATCTCCTTGGGAGGCCCGGCTGCGTCTTCAGAGCCAGGAGCAGTCAGGGCAGCTGCATGCGCAGGATGCCTGATAACTGACCGCAGTGCCAGCGGTGGGTGGGTTCCAAGCTTTTTGTTATCTGTACATTTGTTTCCGGAATGTAGTCTCATTATGCTGATTTTATGAGCCAGGACTGCGCTGTATCTAGTTCGCTCAGAGTCCGTATTAATTTTAGGACAGTGCATGTCCAGTCCCCCTGCCCCCAGCACTGCCCTTACACAACCGCTGATCTTTTTTCCACCTGTATAGATTTGCCTCTTCTGGACATTCATGTACATGGACCCTGTAGTACCGGGCCCTGTGTGAGTGGCTGTTGATTACTGAGCATGATGTTTTCAAGGTTCTTCCACAGTTGTATCCGGTGTCAGGATTTCACTCCTCTGTTTGGCTACATTGTTGTGCGGATAGACCACATTGTGTATCAGTGCATTAGCTGATAGATACATGGGTTGTTTCCACTTCTCAGCTGTTAGAAATAATGTTACTGTAAACATTTGGAAAGAAGTTGTGTGCACAGATGTTTTCATATGGTGTTGTTTTCTTTTGCCAATACAGCTTTGCCCCTTTGTCCCTCCTCTGTGCTGTTATTGTCAAATATGTTATATTTTTACATGTTACAAACTGAAGACATAACTGTATATGTGTTTTATATAATAGTTTTTTAATTTAGTAAGAAGGTAAATACGTTTTTATATGTTCTATAATTGTATAATTACTTTTACTGATGCTCTTTGCTTCTTTTATGGATCAAAATTATCCATGGAGTCACTTGCTTTCAGCCTAAAGAACTTCCTTTAGTATTTCTTATAATCCAGGTTTGCTAGCAATTAATAGTTTCTTTTTTATTTTGTTTTTGTTGTTGTTGTTGTTGTTGTTTTTACCCTGGGTGTCTTTATGTTGCCTTCATTTTTGAAAGATAGTTTTGCTGGATGTAAGACTCTTAGCTGACCATTCTTTTCTCTTCCAGTACTTTGGATATGCTATCCCACTGCCTTCTGGCCTCCACAGTTTTGGATGACACATCATCCCAGTCTACCTGGGCTTCCCTTCTCGTCTTTCAGAATTTTTTTTTAAATTTTTTTTAATGCTTAGCTATTTTTGAGGGAGGGAGGGAGGGAGAGAGAGAGAGAGAGCGAGCAGGAGAGGGGCAGAGAGAGAGGGAGACAGAGGATCCAAAGCAGGCTCCATGCTGACAGCAGAGAGCCCAATGTGGGGTTCGAACTCACAGACCATGAGATTGTGACCTGAGCTTAAGTCGAATGCTTAACCGACTGAGCCACCCAGTGCCTCCCGCACTTTTATTATGCTATGCATGTTTTGTGTTTATGCAACTTGGAGTTCATTGAGGCTCTTGGATGTGTAGATGAATAGTTCTCATCAAATTTGGGAATTTTTCTGTTTTTCAGATTGTATATTTTTTTATCAATTTGACTTTAAATTTGGTGATTCTTCTGCCAGTTCAAAATCTGCTATTCAACTATGGTGAATTTTTCATTTCAGTTACTATATTTTTCATTTTCACACTTTCCATTTGGTTCTTTATAATTTCTGTTTCTTTGTTGATAATCACTATTTGATGACAACATCGTCATCAGACCTTCCTTTACTTGTTTATGCATAGTTTCCTGGAGCTCTTTGTGCATATTTATTGTGGCTACTTAAAAGACAGTCAGTTACCTCTAGCATCTGGGCCCTTCCCTGGGAGGTTCTGTTGCTTTTCCTTCTGGGTTTTACTTTCCTGTTTCTTTGCATAATTACTCACAGTTTTCAATGAAAACTGAACATCTCAAATAATATATTGTAGCAACTCTGGATGCTGCAGGTCTGCCCACCCCCCAGCCCAGGCCTGTCTTCGTTGTCGTTTCCTTGTTTATTTACTGAGTGCCGTGGCTTGACCATTTCAATGAGGTCATCTCCAGCGTGAAGTCTGCTGTTGCTCCTGTGCGGGAACAGCAGCGCTGGGGTGACCGCAGACTCAGTGGCACTCTGTTGCTGTCACACCCAGCTGTCAGGCTCCACTCACTGCCAGCTGAGTGCCTTATTTTCAACAGTTTGTGAGAAATGTGCTTCGCAATCTGATCTCCTATTTGAGCCCCTTTGAAGGGTTGTTTCTGAGGCCGTTCTCTGAGGCGGTTCTGAGCCTTCTTGCTGTCTTCTCCCCAGGCCCTCCTCTCTCTGAGCACTCAGCTGGCCTGTGGCTGTCACGAAGCTGCCAGTCTCCTCTCAGCTGCCCACCTCCAAAGTCTCCATTGTTTTAAAGAGCACTCCTAGGTGTGAATTCACCACCTTCTGTTCCAAACAAAGTCAGTTCTTTTGTGGGGAGTTTTGCTCTGTTTTGTGGCCTGCCCTGGGCAGTTTCTCTGAGCCACGGTTTCTAGTTACGGGTGGTAACAACAGTCCCCTTCTCTTGGGGCTCTGTGTAGTAGCCTCTGGTCTTTCTGCTAGCCTCTTCTGGGGGCAGCCTCCACCCGGCAAGACTGGTGTAAGGGTGAGTGGGCCCCAGTACTGTCGGCCTTTTATGTCTTGCGTAGAAATTCTGGGTGAGGCTGGGCAGGAAAAGGTAGCTCCCAGCCGCTCAACTGCTGTTGAGGGTGTGCACTACACGGCTGAGGAGGATGAGCAATGCCGGCAGCCTGTTCCTCGCAGGGAGAGCACAGAGCGCTCCACAGAGCCCCGGGGGGAGAGGGAGCCCTGTGTTCTTCAGTGCACCCTCTCAGAGTAGTCTGTGTCCCACGGAGCTGCAGATGGCGGGGGGAGAGAGTGGGTCATGGTTCCTCAAGGGCCTCACACTCTCCCGTTCTTACCAAGCTTTAGATTTTCTTGAACGAAGGTTTCTGTATTTGCCGTATGCCCCCAGATGGTTTCCGGAGGCCATAAGTCATTGTGCTGCTGGTGGTTTTTATGCCCTTTACCAGTTATGCTTGTTCCCCTGGCAAGCTGACCCACAGAACTCCCCATGCCACCATTCCTCATAGGTCTTTGCAGGCTTATTTTTAGCCTACAAATTCATGTACATTTTTGTTGCTTGTTTTAATAATAAAAAAAAAAATCTTTCTCATGGTTCGTGAGTTCGAGCCCCGCGTCAGGCTCTGTGCTGACAGCTCGGAGCCCGGAGTCTGCTTCGGATTCTGTCACTCCCTCTTTCTCTGCCCCTCCCCTGCTCACACTGTGTCTCTCTGTCTCTTAAAAATAAATAAATGTTAAAAAAATGTAAAAAAAAAAAAATCTTAAGGCGTTTATTGATCTGAAAGATAAGCACTTTGGGATTGTGTGCCATGTGATTTCATACACCCCCAGCCTGCTACTGTCCACCCCCAGAGTTCCAACCTCCCAATAAAGAGAAGCACAGATCTGGGTCCATCCAGGGTCAGGGGGTCCCAGAAGGAGATCATGCTTGCACTTCACTTCCACATAGGGCAGATTGTCTCCCTCCTGCTACCAGGATGTAAACTCCATGAAGAGAGTACCACAGTAGTACCCATACTGTGTACCCAAAGCAGGGTCAATCTGCTTTGCCTGTTCTTTCATATTCTGTCCCTCCAGCCTGGAATACTGGCACATCGTGGCTGTCAGTATTTGCTGATTGAATGTGTGAAAGGTGGCTTAGCTGTACAGAGCATGTTGCTAGGGCCAGTGGACATGAGGCAGGTGGGAGAAGGCCTGGCTGCTGGAGGGGGAGAATGATTTTCTGAAATGTGTTTCCTTCTTCCATGAGATAAAACCCACTCTGTAATGTGATCTGCCTTGTATTAGTATTACAGAATTGCAGTTATCAAAATATTGCTGGCAAGAGCTAGTCACACTAATCAATGGAGCAAAATCAAGAGGTGAAAAGTAGACCCCAGTAGCATTGCATTCGGTGACAAAAGGTGGCATTTCACAGCAGTGGAGAAAAGACAAGGCATTCCAGAAGTGATGTCATGACCTTCTAGGAAAAAAAAAAAATTATGCTAGGAATCTACCTCATTCTTTAAACCTGTGTAAATCCCAGATCAAAACATTTCAGTCTTTTTTTGAAACACTCTTTATTATGTGAGTTTTCAGACCTGCAAAAGTAGGCAAAGCCCGCCACCCAGTTTCAGTGTTCACGGGCCGTTACAGCCAACTTACATCTTCCGTCCTCCTCGCTCGCTTTCCTCTCCTTTCTTGCTTGGAAGTAGGTCTCTAGAAGATGTGTGCTCTTACTTTCTTAATGTAGCACGTTTAAAATATAGCATTAAGTCCTTAATTCATCAAATGGTCAGTGTTCGAATCTCCAACGTCGGTCTCCCTCTTTGGTTGTTTGAGCTGAGATACCAGTAAGATCCACGCACTGAGATTGGTTGACGTAACCCTTTACACTCTCTTCCGTCTACAGGTCCCCGCTCCATCCTCTTTTATTTTCCCACAGTTTATTTGTTGAAGAAGTGTGGCTATTTGTCCTGGGAAGTCTCTCTCTACACTGTCTGCTAGCATATCCTCTGTGAACCCTGTCTGACCAGGAGGCAGCTTCAGATCCCGTTGGCTGGTTTTCATAAGGCTGTTTCCAGCAGGAAGCACACAGTGTCTGACTGTTCGCCGTATTGTGAAGCCAGTAGCCACCGATGACCAACTAGGGCCACTAATTCACTGGAGGTGGCAAACACAGAGATATCTCAATTGCATAATTCTTCATTAACTAGCCTGAATCATTCTGTAAGGAGAATCTTCCCCAATCTACTTTTGCGTACCTACCGGTACCATTTATATAACAGAAATAGGATTAATGATGAGTTATTCTTCCCACTTATTTACCAGTTTCAGACCAACGATTTAGTTCACTGTGATTCACTAGCACACTTCATCTGTGACCAGTTAGGGTTTTGTGTTGTTGTTGTTGTTGTTGTTGTTGTTGTTTAGTAGCATTGTGAACCCATGGATCTAAGCATATTTTGTTTCAATTCCCTATAAGTAATATTCTTTTTAATACTCAAATTGTGCCATCTTTGGCCATTAGGAGCCTCTGATTCAGATTAGCTCCTGAGTCCTTCCAGCCTTGAGGTCTCAAACACCTTAGTCTCTCTGAGAGTTCTGTTGCTCTCCAGTCTGAAAAGGGTTCCAGCCTCCCATTGCACAGTTCCTTCCCTGGACCTGGAATCGGCTGCTTTTCCAGGATTCCCTAGTTCTGTTCAGTGGACAGGGATCTTTGAGGACCACTGTCTGGATACTGGCTTATTTGTCATTTCTGGACAAAGCAAGGAAATCTTTTTAAGATAAAAATGATCTTGAGTTTCTATTGATACTTGCAATTCACATTCATTACTGTAAAATGAAAGTATTAGACCCTACGTCTTTTCTGTCTTCCTCCTAAGCTTAGAATCCTGGTTGTCAACGACCCTGGAGATGAGTATCACATAATGACCCAGAGTAATCTCGGAATAGCACTGGCACCACCACCAGTGTCAGCACCAAAATCAATTTAAGGTGGGATTTTTCTTTTGGGTTTTGTTTTGCTTCAGATCCAAGCACTTAATATAAGAAAATACTAGAAGAAAAACAAATGAAAAAATTGGCATAGTTAGTTCTTTCTAAGTATAACCCAGAAGCCATCAGTGGAGGGTGGTCAAGAAAAGATTAATATAGGGGCGCCTGGGTGGCGCAGTCGGTTAAGCGTCCGACTTCAGCCAGGTCACGATCTCGCGGTCCGTGAGTTCGAGCCCCGCGTCGGGCTCTGGGCTGATGGCTCGGAGCCTGGAGCCTGTTTCCGATTCTGTGTCTCCCTCTCTCTCTGCCCCTCCCCCGTTCATGCTCTGTCTCTCTCTGTCCCAAAAATAAAATAAAAAACGTTGAAAAAAAAATTAAAAAAAAAAAAAGAAAAGATTAATATATTTGACCAAATCAAAAAGAAAAATTCTATACAACCAACAGTACCACAATGAGAGTAAAACCTCTGCAAACCCACACTACAGTGTCTGAGGTACTCCCACCAAGCACCACCTACCTCTCCTGGGTAGACTTCCCTGGTCGCCCCCTCAGTCCGCCTCAGACCTTCATTGTGGTTTCTGGGGGGTGGGGCTGGGTATTCTCTTTACAGATGAGAACAGTCTGACTGTGTTGAGTTCTCACCCAAGGCATCGGCTGGATGGTGGCAAAGCAGGAGCCTGAGCCCAGTGTCCCGATGTCACACCCATTTCCTCTGCAAAGTTAGTAGCAAGGCAGACTGTTACCCGGGCTTGGAGCTCTTCAATTGCTCAGGCCACCAGTAGGCAGACGTCTTGCTTGTTGGAGCTGGTTAGAGAACTAGGCCTAGCTGAATCCACCCTCACTCTGCGCTCCCCAGCACAGGTGCCTTCTACTGCTCAGGAGCTGCTGAAAAGTCTGTCCATATCTCGGTGCTGTGTGGGCCTCTCTGAATCCACAGGGTAGGGCTGCCATACATCCTGCTGTCACCCTTGTTCAGGAGGTTGACTGTTGACCTCACCAAAGTGACCATCCCTCAGCATGTACAGAGCTACCTGCTGTCTCTGTGCGTATCCCGGGCTCTAAAACTCAGGCGGTACTGTTTCTTGTGTTGGTATCCCTCCTACATATCATACGCTACTTTGGGGAAGGCACCATGCCCACACGGGATGAGTATTTAGTAATTTATTGACATAAGAACCAGGAAAGTGCTTTCTGTATGAATCTGCATAGAATGGCTCAAAGAGATGGATAATCGGTTGTAGAAGGTCAAAGGAATGGGGGGCCTGGGTGGCTCAGTCAGGTAAGTGTCCCAACTCTTGATTTCAGCTCAGGTCATGATCTCTCAGTTCTGAGATCGAGCCCCATGTCAGGCTCTGCACTGGGTGTGGAGCCTGCTTAAGATTCTCTCTCTCTCTCTCTCTCTCTCTCTGTCTCTCCCTCCCTCCCTCTCCCTCTCTCTCCCTCTGCCCCTCTCCGATGCACACAAGACTGCATGTGCTCACTCTCTCTAAAATAAAAAAAAAAAAAAAAAAAAAAAAAAGTTCTAGGGAATGACTACTATCTCACACATCTGAGAGCCCATCACTCAAACCGTTTTCTTTTCTCTAGGTGACATTAGACATCCAAAGCATGTTCAACAGACTGACTTGGCTGCAACCTTAGCAATAGGCCTTGGTCTGCCGATTCCAGAGAACAGCGTTGGTAGTCTCCTGTTCCCCTCCATAGAAGGGAGACCAGTGAGAGAACAGTTGAGGTTTTTACATTTAAATGCAGTGCAGCTCAGCAAATTGTTGCAAGAGAACGTGCCATCATACAAAAAAGGTAACTCAGTTAATAGACAACGTTTCCACTACACCTGGTGTTTCCTCCGTTGTGTGTAGGTCATCAGTCTTTGTGCTTCTGTTTTATTAGAACCCTGATGAACACCATTAGCAACACCCACAGATACAGTTATCTATATCAAGTTCTTTCATTCAACAAATATGGAATTTTTTCACTAAGTTCCTGTTTGGCTGGGGGCTATTACAAGCACTGGAGTCACAAGGGCTCTGCCCTCATGGAGCTTACCTTCCAGAGGAGAAGTAGCAGTAGGATGGTGAGGAGTGCCTTAGGAAAAGGCTGTATGGGGGAAGGGATGGAGAATGCAGGTGGATGAGGGCTGTCGGGGCAGGCCTGGCCTTTGACACCGGGAGAGAACGTGTGGCAGATGCAGGGTTCTGCAGTGGGGACCTGCCTGCACCTTCAAGGGAGGACCAGGGGGACGGAGTGGCTGGAGCAGGGCGAACTGGGGCAAGGCAGAAGGAGATGAGGTCAGAGGGATAGGAAGGCCTTCTAGGCCCTGGAGAAGCTCTTGATGAGCTAGATGGGGAGCCCATGCAGCCGTTCGTGCAGAGTCTGAAATCTTCAAGCTGCATTGTCAAAGGCTCTCAAAGGCTCTCTCAGGTGCCCAGATGGAAGGCTCTGCCTTGTGTGGTAGGAGAGTCCGAAGGCTCTCCTCAGTGAGAGGTGCCTCAGTGAGAGGTGGTGTGAGGGCCCAGGCAGTGGCAGTGCAGTCCAGAACAAATGGCTGTATCCTGGATATATTTTGAAGGTAGTGCAAGCAGGATTTGGTGATGCGCTGGATATAAGGTGCAGTTGAACCAGAGGCATAAGGAACAGCTTGGGGTTTTCATTAGAACAGTGGAAGAATGGAGTGACCGTTACTGAAACGGGGAAGGGTGTGGGAGGAGCAAGTTTGCAAAGCAGGGTGCTTGCCAGGTGAGGGGGTTGGGGTTGAGGAAGTCACGTAAATTAAGAAACTCAGGAAGGGAGGAGTGAGCAGCTATGTTGAGCGCTACTTAAGGTAAGCTAAAGTGAGGAACTGAGACTGGACCATTCATCTGGCAGGTGAGGTTGTCGGTGGGTTTGTCAGGAGCAGTGCGTATGGAGAACTGGGAGAAAACCAGGCTGGAGTGGGGACAGGGAAGGACCTGGGGCGTGGAAATGGCTGTTGTCTGAGGTGGGTGGAGGACGACACAGGGTATATTGTTTCTAGTTTTAAGCTGGGAAAAACTAAGGGGTATTGATACTCTGGTGGGAATGATTCAGATCACCCCACGACCATCTTTTCGTATGATTTATCTGACCATCAAGGTATATTAAGGACAGCGTGTTTGGTGCTGGGACTGGGGCTGGTTTGGGAACTTAGAGGAAGTCAACTCCTAGTTTGAGGTGACATTCAATGTGATGTTGGCAGCTTTTCCTACTTGAGATAGTGGAGTACTAGGAAGTATGGTGATGCTGATGAGTTTGCGCTGAGACGTAAACTGGCCTTGAGCTACTGGTGGACGACAAGCCCTGCAGGGACTAGTGGGGAGCCAGGTGTCCTGAATGGCTGGAGAGCCAGCCCCTGTCAGTGAAGAGGCCCCCAGTGAGCAACTGTGTGAAAATCTGGGTGAAAGTGAGACGGCTCTGGTGCACATTTCAGTCCGGACTAGAGACAGTGGTTACTTTGTTTTCAAAAATAACTTGTTTGGTAGCTTTTGCAAATTTGTTATTGATAATGTGTGTCCTTTTTCCTACACTAACAACCAGCAGAACCCCAAACAAAACCACAGCGCTGGTTGTTTGCTTATTTCAGGAGTAGCAAGTAGGGAGAATTAGGCACTGCAGTGGGCGTGGCGGGAAGCAGGCCCGTGAGATGGACTTAGGCCAGTCCCTGGAATGGGAGAGCATTCTTGGGGCCTTACGCCCCTGGGATGCCCTTTGTCTACGTCAGCAGTGTTTCCTGAGACAAAACTGGGTATGTGTCTGACGCCAGAATTGATTTCAAGGCCTTCCCTAACATCCAGCCCAATCTGATACAGCTTGCCCGTCGCTCCCCTTTCACTCCAGTGGGCCAGGCTTTTCTCGTCTCAAGACCTGTGCATGTGCTACTCTCATAGAATGGATGCTTTTCCCCACTGATCACCTGGTGGATTCCTGGGCCACCTTCCACTTCAGCTTCAATATCAGGCCTTACTGTTCCCCACCCTCAACCCCAGATTTCATTCAGTTTCCTCAGTGTTACCAAAAGTCTCCCATGTTCCCCCGCTTTCCTCCGTAGCATTTTTCACAATGTGCACTTCCATGCACGTGTGAGAACTCAGCTGGATCATAGCCCCAGGCAGGCATAGCCCCATGCCCCATGCCTCTGTGATTCTGGGTATAGACACCGGTGCCCCCACATCTCTGTGACTTCAAGGTGCGGGGGAGAGGGGTATAACAATTAAGGTTTCCATCCTGGACCCAGACTAATTGAGTTTAGATCCCAGCCGTCACACCTGCCAGCCTGTGGGCTGGTGTCCGAGTGCCTCCCCTCTGCAGTGGGCATGGCAGTCATCCCTATCTGAGGGTTAGGGTCATGCCTGCCATCAGCACTTGGTCACCTGGTGCCTGCAGCAGCGGCGGGGCTGTGCTCAGGGTCATATAGCAGCCTTAACCCTAATCCTGAAAGGCATGGTTTAGACCACCTTAGAATGGCTCTGCTGGAGGTCGGAGGAGCACGTTAAATACCACGGAGTCTCAGAAAGGAAGTTCTTGCTTTTGCAGATGAGTTGAGTCACCGGTAGGTCTGGTCCAACTCCAGAAGGGAGCAAGGCAACTTCCTGACGCTGAGCTGCCTGCTGCTGCCATCCCAGAGGGGGAGCCAGCAGCAGTGGGGGCTGGGCTTCACCCAGCAGCTGTTCTGCCGGCCTAGCTTGGCGTTGGGGAGGATCATCTAGCCCGGCATCGTGGCAGGAGGGGTCAGGACTGCTGTCCCTTTCCAGAGAGGACTTGCAAAGAGGGAAACAGGTCAGAGATGGGTCCTCACAGTGTGTGAGCACTGGAAAGATTTTTAACACCGAGGACCTAATAATGTAACGCATTTCTGGGTTGTTTTTATATTGCACATTAAAGAAGAAGAAAAGGGTGGAAAGAGATCGGGAGAGAAGGGGGAGGAAGAGGAGGAGGCAAAACCAGGTGTAAAAGGTAGAGACAGGGGGGCACATGCTTCTGTCCCTATTGGGTGCTGCTTTGTGCCTAGGGCTGTAGCGGGCTGGCAGGATGTCCGAGGATTCGTGAGCATCATCAGCTGTTAGTTTCACTGAAGGCGTTGCTGGCCACCCCCCAAGGAATAATTCACCTCCATTAGGTCTCAGAATTTATGCTCGCACTATATGCGTGTGAATAAAGGAATACTCTGAAATGACAGATGCATCCTCTTGTCTGTGATTTGTAATGTAACCTTGTCCTCTTCTTGGTAGAGCCTGGGTTTGAGCAGTTTAAAATGGCAGAGAGGTTGCATGGGAACTGGATCAGACTGTACTTGGAGGAAAATACCTCGGAAGTCCTGTTCAACCTGGGAACCAAGGTTCGCAGGCAGTACTTGGATGCCCTGAGGACTCTGAGCCTATCCCTGAGCAGACAGGTGGCTCAGTACGACATCTACTCGATGCTGGTGGGGACCGTCATGGTTCTGGAGGTACGGCTGCTCGTGTGGAGTCACGGCTCGGCTGTTAAACTGATTTGATAACTCAGCCAGAATTTTGTAGTTTCAAGTGTATAAAACCCTTTTTTTCCTAAATGTGGAAGAATACCAGTTTCTTTACTCGTTGAACTTCCTCGTGGTGTGCCCTCGTGCCCAGAGTACTGCCAGGCGTCGAGTATGCGTGTGTTCTTGGCAGCTCTTTACAAACCGTGCTTATTGGGCTTTCTTCTTCGGTTCCCAACGTTTGAGCAGCTGGCACAAGGTCAGGAGGCAGGCTTTTTCTGAGCGGTTCTCTCCGAGCCCATCAGTCATGGACACTGCTGCTGTTTTTCTCCGCCAGGTTCTAACCCTGCTCCTGCTCAGCATCCCGCAAGCACTGAGCAGCAAGGCTGAATTGGAAGTTCCTCTGTGGTCGCCTGTGTTTTCTCTGCTGTTTTATTTGATGTTTCTGGTTCTTTCTGCTCTTCACGTCATTGTGTGCACCTCAGCTGAGAGTTCCTGCTATTTCTGTGGCCTCTCATGGCTGATGGCAGGTGGAGTGATGGTGTTGATCTCCGCACTGCTCTGTGCGGTTGTGTCTGCTCTTGCCAAGATGTTTGCCAGCGGAAAGCTCCTGAGCAAGGTAAGGCTGGCTCCCGCGCACGGGACGCTGTCTTCCTGGATCGGCCTTTTTCTCTTATCTCAGCTGATCTTTCATTCATCAGACACTGGTTAAACCCCTTGGTGTGTAACCAGGCAGAGTTGAGGAGCCCACACTTCAGGAGGGCCAACGTCTGAGCATCCTGACTTCAGACCCTCAGACCTGTGTTGCCAGGTCACAGGCCTCATTTCTTCATTGTAAACACAGGGTTCCTGTGACTCTAAACATGGGCTGCTGGTCACAGACAAATGGGCAGTTGACTGGTGGTGCAGTGTGAATCAGACATCTCTCAGAAAGTGTTTGAGCTCAGCCAAGGGAAGAACATTTCAGAGAGGAAGGAGTCAACTCATTAGACCTTCCAGAAAGGTCAGCAGGAGGCTGGGACCCTGTCCTCACCCTGCCCTCCTCAGGAGTCCATCCTGCCTCGTAAAGTGCAGTTTTCTTTTCAAGACTGATGTTTTCCTGTAGATTTCTTAGGGTCTTTGGCCTCTGACACCTATATTCGTGATCACGGTAGCAGTGTGGTGAAGCAGAGGTGGGCAGCCACGGTTGGTCCATGGTGCCCGGAGCCTAAGGGACCCAGGGAAGTCACTCCAGGCCCCCAGAACGATCAGAGGCCCTTCCCCGTGTGCCTGTGTCTGAGGAGCTGACGTGTTGTCGTTCATAGCACGCTTCTGTTCCCCCATTAGAACATAGCGTTCCCTCAAGCCATTTCGTTCGTTCTCTAGGCCCTAAATTAGGGTTCCTGGTATCTCTCTTTCTGTCTTATACAAGCTGTGCACGACCCATAGAGGAAACATTAAGAAGTTGTCAAATGACAGTCACGGAGTCCTGATCTTTAATCTTCAACGCGTTCGGCATATGGAAGGGTTGGTGCCGTGACGCCAACTTTGTTGTTTCGAGGGAATTGACCATTTTAATGAAAGCTTTCTGGATTTCTGGAAAATTCATGGGGAAATTAAATGTCTGGTTTGGCTGCATATATCCTGGGGGTTCTTTGGTATCAAGCAGCAGGAGCTGCCCGTGACCCCTGGAGGCCTGGGCCCTGAGGGAGAGGATGAGGGTACAAAGAGGGCTGGGTCCAGGAGCCAGCAGGGGAGCTCTCGGAGCTGCAGCACTGCCCAGACGGTGTGCGGCTAAGTATCTTTGTTCTCTTTGTCACTCAGCTTAGGACTTGCAGTCCAGGGTGACAGTGCCTCCAGAGCAGAGCAGGGGGTGCGTGGGGGCGTGAGGAGCCGCAAGTGCCTGTCACAGCAGGTTATGCTCTGTGAGCAAGAACTTTAAGTGCCTGGGGTGGGATTTGTGTAATTTTCGTGTGTTTCCCTCACGGAATGCATTTTCCTTTTACAGAATCCAGCCCATCCAAACTCACGATGGTCAGAGTTGGATGTTGTTATCTTGTTGGGGACCACGGGCCATGTGCTGAGTCTGGGCGCAAGCAGCTTCATCGAGGAAGAGCACCAGACCTGGTACTTCCTCGTTAACACCCTGTGTCTGGCTCTGTGTCACGAAATCTACAGAAACTGCTTTCTGGGTGACGACTGTGAGCCCCGGCGATGCTCGCACGGGGAGCGGGGGTTTGTCAACACTGCACCAGCGTTACAGGACGGGAGCATCGGCCATGACGAGCTAGAGCCCCACAGAGCGTCTAAGAGCCCCACTTCCCTTAACACGCTCAGAGGCTGGGAGAAGTGGATGGCGATGGCAAGCCCCTGGGTGATACTTACCTGCTGCCGGCTGCTGCGGTCACTAAACCAGACGGGTGTGCAGTGGGCCCACCGGCCTGACCTGGGGCACTGGCTCACCAGGTGAGAGAGAGTATGAGCTGTAGCCTTAGGCCGGACCTTGCACGGCTGACTGGCCACAGAGTGTTCTTTTTCCAAATTCAGGCCTGTTTTTTATACTCAGGACGGAAGTGGTATTTGAGAACTGAAGAAATGGAAAAATAGACTGTAAGCCAGGAATTAATATTGAAAGATGGATTTATTTGAGGCTACCCTAACATGTTTGGGGTTTTTTTATTGCTGAGTCACCATAACTTTATATTTGAAAACCTTTGAGTTTTAAAATGACGACTGCAGCGAGGATATAGTTTTGTTACTTGCTGCCTCCTCGCCGACAAGGCAGGTCTGGGACAGGGCCATTCTCCCTCCGTCCTTCCTCCCCTCTCTCCCCACCCTGAGGCTGATGGCTGGACAACCTAGTCGAAAGTGTAGTGGATGGGGAGGATCACAGTAGAGAGAGGAAACTGGGACAGAAAATACTGGCTGTATTATATATTCTAATTGCCTGTCAGTGAAGAGTTAGAAAACTAAAGGAGAAGGAAGAGAACAGAATAAAAATTTATTTCCTGTCGCTGTGAAGGACTTGTATGAAAGTCGCCAGCAGGAAGGGGGCTCAGGACAGTGACAGACACATTCCTAAAGGAGGGAATGCCAACAGAAAGACGAGGGACATGCCCACCGTCCTAGTGATCGGGGAGCGTAGGGTCAAACAACGAGGTGTGATTTTACTCACAGCAGACACACAAAAGGAAGTGATAGAACGCAGTCCCGGCGAGCAGCAGAGGACCCCTGACCGCACACTGCCATGGCTCCAAGATACCTGTAAAGATCCATCACAGGCTATAAAAATCATCCCTCTGGTCAAATAATTCTTGTGGGAAATTTCTCCCAAGTGCTAACTCTGTTGGCAAACCTCTGGCAACCACAGGAACCACAGGCAGCTTCTTCCGGGTCCTGCCACGTGCCTGCTCGTTTTGTTTTTGTAGCAGGCCTGGAGAGAGATCGCTGGCCTGTCCCACCTCAGGTGAGGAAGCAGAAGCAACTCGAGACCTCTGCCTGAGCATGTGAGGTTGGGGCAGCTCTGGGACAGCCCAGAAGCCTCACTTACCTTTCTGGAGAGTTGAGGCACTGCAGGAGAATGTGCTGATCCCACCCCTGATGCCCCGCCCCCCTCTCCAGGGGCCACTGTGCCCACTCCTCAGTCTGGACCCTCCTCCGGCACATCAGGCCCGACCTCTTCCCCTCAGAGGGTGCCCCTTCCTGCATCACAGCTTTCCCCGTGCTGCTGAATTAGTCCTGTCAGTTCGTGAAGAAGCTGCAACGTGGCCCCATTTCTCCTTCAGAGGAGGGCTTCTTTTTTTTTTTTTTTAATTTTTTTTTTCAACGTTTATTTATTTTTGGGACAGAGAGAGACAGAGCATGAACGGGCTAGGGGCAGAGAGAGAGGGAGACACAGAATCGGAAACAGGCTCCAGGCTCTGAGCCATCAGCCCAGAGCCCGACGCGGGGCTCGAACTCACGGACCGTGAGATCGTGACCTGGTTGAAGTCGGACGCTTAACCGACTGCGCCACCCAGGCGCCCCCAGAGGAGGGCTTCTTGAGAGGCATCTGAACTTACCTTCTTTATTGCTATTTTTCAGTTGTTACAATGAATAATCCAGGAGAGTGCATAAAACATCTAGTTTAAAGAGCGACAGCGAATGGACACCCAGGTGACCACCTCCCAGACCAAGCACCAGGGCAGGGCCAGGCCCCAGCACGACACCCATCACCTCCCGCCATCCCTGGGCCCATGTCCTGACGCTGGCCATATCTTTCCTCTGAGTCTTTTCCAAGTAGTTTTTCCACTGCTGTGTGTTTACCTTGGCAGGGTTAGTCACTCATCCACTTAACAACTATTGAGTGTCTGGCCTTCGCGAGTGTATGCTGTGATGAATGAAACAAAAGAATCCTGCCTTCCAGCGCAGCACTCACTGAGGTGGCAGGATGGTGGGCGGGGGCCGGACGGAGACAGGGGCGCAGCTTTGCCATGACGGCTTTGTGCCCCGAGCCTGACTGCAAAGTCTCCTCGCCTGGGAACGAGCAGACACTCTCAAGTGAGTCAATCTGTGTTAATGAGGGAATGAGAGAGGATTGCGCCAGGACGTGCTGGTCTCCCGTGAGCAGGACGTATGCTGGCAAATACACAGTTTGCCCAGAATCTCTTCACCGGTGGTTGGGGGAACATGGAGTTGCCAGGGGAGCCAGTGGATAGCGTTCTATACAGGTCACTGCGCTGGCCAGTGCAGACCTGGTGGCAGGGACCATTTGTGAATGAGAAATGAGAGCCCAGGTTAACTCATTTGTCGCATTTTAAGAACCTTTGAATTTAAAGCACAACGATTTTCTTTTCTTTTTTGCTTTTCAGAAAAACCAGCTATTTTTAATACAGTTCCTAGAAAGCCACTCGGTGTAGATCCGTAACATCGATCGCTATACTTACTAGCGATTTGGGGATTTTCCGTTTCATTTCAGTTCTGATCATAAAGCTGAGCTCTCCGTTCTGGCCGCCCTCTCACTCATCATGATTTTTGCGCTGGTGCAGAGGAGGTGCTCCCTGACGTCAAAAGTAGCCATGGCACTTGGCCTCCTGGGTGTCTACTGCTACCGGGCAGCCATTGGAAATATCCTGTTCCCATGGCAACGAGACAGCAAAGACATTTCCAAGTAAGCGTACTGGCAAATCTATTTAATGTTTTATACACTGAAACGTGCCACGCGGTCTTTAGAACTTTGGAATCGGTTTCTGTGAATCGTGATCTCAGCAGTTACTAGAGCCTGGACAAGGAATGCCTCAATAAACTGATTCTTTTAGTCTCTTTCCTTTGGCAGGAGAAAGACAGATAATGGAGTAAGGTCACTGAGGTTTATTTTTTACAGTAAAGGGTTCTCTAAAAATAAGAAACGGAAAGGATTCAGTTTTGCTCGGTCAAGAAGTAGTAACAGGAATCACAAAGAGGGGTCGCTTCCTATCAGTTGGGAAACAAAGCACACCAGAAAAGTCAACTTTCCCGTAATTTGACGGTGAATTCCTGGGGTGGGGAGGGGCCCCCCCGTGCTGACTGAGGCATAAATGCCACATTTTATGTGTCAAAAACTGGCAGCTTTTCTTTTTTTAAAGGCAATGTGGGGTGGGGTGAGCAGAGGCTGTTCTGGAGGTTGTAAAACGTGGTAAGAACTTTGAGTGTATCCAACCCTGTGACCTGGGCACCCTCTTATGAAATTTATCTCAAGAACAGAACCAGAGATGAGGCCTGGAACCAGGACACAGGCACGCTCTCTGAAAAATTATTTACAGGTACACAGAGTACAAATCAAGATAATTGGCCGACAGTAGTGGGATGAACCTCTGAGTGATGTTAAAGCTCTGTGCTGGGTATTGTGTTTTCATAGACGATGAGAAGATGTGGACCAGGAGGCTATAAAACTATCATATGGCCCCAGTTGATGAAGTAGATGCGTATTTTTTCATGTTTGTATGAAAGACTCAAATATGTAATTGGTTGTGATTAGATTTAGGACACAGACTCACAGGTGGCTCGTGATCTTCCTTTCCATGCATCTTCATTTTTTTATTGCTTTTCTAATCAGAGAAAGGAAAGCAAATGTTATCTTCTCAGAAAAGGTCAGGGTGTAAGCTGAGGGCTGTGGCCAGGCTGTGTGAGTGGCCAGGAGGCATGAGGCCCACCTGAAAATAGGACCTGCCAACAGTACGGGCAGTTGAAGTGATACCCAGAGCCTGGCTGAGGTGACGGCAGGGTGGTAGGCCTTCACCCGAGGCAGGGAGGTCAGGTAGGGGGAGGATGGTGTAGAGACATCTCAAAGGCTGTTCGCTTTGGAGTCTGAGACTCTGGGCAGATGTCAAGGCTAGATGTCACACTTGAGGATGTCCACAGGGCTGTCTAAATCTCAAAGCGTGATACGTGAATACATTCCTCGCTTCCTCTCAGATCGGTGCACCTAATTTCCTCCTCACTCATCTCAAGACTTGGATCACTTACCTTTCATGGACACTACAGCATGCACCTTCTTGGTGTTCAGAGCACAGTTCAATGCACCCTTTCACTACCCTTCACTGCTTGGTGTTCTGCCTGTAAAATGCCTCCATTCCCCACCCCCATCTATCCTGACTCTAGATCCCTCTCACTAAGAGATCTACTCCAGGTCTCGAACCGTGCGGGTTCTAGATTTCCCTAACAGCTGCTTCTCTCCATTCAGTCTGCTGCTGTCCATAGATATTCTAAAATACTCCCTTACATTTAGCTCCTGCCCCTTCTCCGCTGTGAGGCCCAGGCTTGCTGGAGTGGAAGGTCAGGTGGACATTGTCCTAGATAGCATTGAATGGTTTGGGGCAAGGAGATGAACCCCTTGAAGGCACCCACTGGTGTTCTCTTTCATATTCACCACCCAGAATGCATTCTACCCCCTCTGATGACTCGGACCTTGGCTGATTTCTCCTTCTCTAACCCTACTGGGTCTGTCATCAGCTCTCTGCTTAGCACACCTTGGCCGTGGGGTTGCACCTAACCCTAGCTCTTTGGCTGCCGCATGGCCCTGTGGCTGGCGTCTACACACTAGAGGCACACAGCAGACAGTGCTTGGACTGGTCAAATTCAACTAACTGTGGTTTTAAAAAGGAATTTTTTTTAGGTGCACAAACCTTCCGAGGAAAATCTGAGATAGGAACATTCAGTTTTTCAAAACACGTAACGTTATTATGATAATGATTTCACTTAAAATTTTGTTTATTTAGCATTACTTTAAGTGGTCAGCTTTTCTAGTATTTATAAAATACTTGATGTATAGAATTTATTTAAAATATGTTTTAGGGATATATGTGTTTCATTAGATGAAATTTTTTGGTATGGTGTCATAAATTATATCCTTTACAAATAATTGTAAGTGAAGTGCTAAAATAATTCTCAATAATCCTTAACATTTATTACGTGCCAAACACTTTACCTCTGTTCTTTGGTTAACTCCCAGGAGAGCTTGTGAGGTGTAGGTACTGCTTCTCTTCATTTTAGGAATAATGAAGTGAGCGTCAGAAGCCTTAAGTAACTTCCCCCAGCAACAGAGCTAGTAAGTGGCAGAGCCCAGATGAACCTGGCCCTGCCCTTCTGCAGGCCCCACAGTGTTCTCTGCACCGTTGTGTACGTGTGCATGCGTGTGCATACGCAAGTACTCATGGTTGTGAGCACGTCCAGTTGTATCTTAGCATTATGAACTTAACGGAAGTTTCTGCTAGAGCTTGACCTTATCCCGTTGCAGGGGTCTTTCAAATTAACCGTGTGAAGCCGGTGGGCAGTTTTCCTGGGACCCTACAAGTGATGGCTCTGGCCTTGTGCCAGGCCATCCTTGGGCCAGATGAATGGGACTCCCCAGAATTCCCATGAGTCCGTTCCATCAGAGATGTGCACAGAGAGAGGACAGGCCTGCCAGCCTCTGAGCAAGGGGAGTCCTGCAGGCTGGGATGCAGAAGCAGACACCCCCACTTCCACGGTGTCACCCAAGCGGGCGGGCACTATGGCTTCTTTAGTCAGCTAAGTGGACTCTTGGTTTTCATGGAAAAATATGTTTTGAGTCTTTCGAGCTGGTGCTAATGAATCAAACTCTTTTGCTTTTTTTTTTTTTTTTTTTTTTTTTTTTTTTTTTTTTTTAGGGGTCTTATTGAAGCTCGTTTTGTTCATGTCTTTGTCCTGGGCATTCTGTTCACGGGCACCAAAGACTTGCTTAAATCTCAAGTCATTGCTGCAGACTTCACAATCAAGACTGTGGGTCTATGGGAGATATATAGTGGATTGGTTCTTCTGGCTGCTTTGCTTTTTAGACCACATAATCTTCCAGTTTTAGTATTTAGCCTCTTGATTCAGACTATAATGACTAAATTCGTCTGGAAGCCCCTGAGGCATGATGCAGCTGAGATCACTGTAATGCATTATTGGTTTGGTCAAGCATTCTTCTATTTCCAGGTAGGTCTTCATTGCTATTGTGAATAGAAGCCTATTAACTTTTTATGTCATTTCTCTTTTAGTTTTTCTCTGAGAAAGGTTACCATAAGTTGGGAAGTTAAAAAGGCTGTTCAGTGAAGGGACTTTCAGTATGGTGTGGGGGAATGATGCTTAAATTTCATGTGTATTTGATAGGATAAAATTCAGTGACTGACTTAAGACCGACCCCCTCGGTGTGGATCCGTGAGTGCTTAAGACGTTGTGTGGTTGTGCACTAGGTCTATTTACCGTGACTGGTTAGGGAGGCACTTCACTGTTCCATTGCTTTATCTGATGAAGTGATAACTGAAGTTTCTATTCCCTTTCCCCTGGCCATGCTGTTGGGTGTCTTCACGTGGGTATGAATCCCCCGGGGCCCCGTGGTCGTCACGTCTTCTCTCCAGTGTTAAAGGGCCCATCAGAAGCAAGTCCAAGCTGCCTCCAGGATGGACCTCAGTATCTGCCTGTGTGCTTGGAGCAGCGCCTGGGCAGGTGGACAGAGGGCCCAGCTTCTGGCCATAAAGGGACTTAGTTCCATCCCAGCCTTCCCACATCTCTCTGCCCAGTTCGAAGGGCCCCACCCTCAACCTAGTTGCTGCCTCTAGGACCCTGGAGGGTGGGCACAGCTCCCCAGCCTCCCCTGTCGGCCCTGTGCCCTCTGGTGGAAGAACTGTGCGCAAACCCCTGAGTGTCTCAGCTGTGTTTTCCCATCTTTACAGTGAGGATCCGTACTTCCTCTGTGAGCACCAGCTCCTCCCTCCTCTTCCAGACCCTGGGGACTTGTGTGGTCTGTGTGTCCCGATAGGTGGGCCTGGGCTTCTTCCCTGACCTTGCTATTTCTCTCCTGGTTTCCTGGTGCTCATGGCATCCCCCAAAGAGCAGCCCCCCATCATGGCTTTCCATCTGTTCCCTGAAGGCCAGAAGGGGGTGGGAGAAGTTCTAGAAATCCATAAGTCCTAGAGGATGTGACCTGACCCTCAGAACCCCTCCCCCCCTTGCCATCCGTCTCCCCTGGGGGACTCCATACTTCTGTCTCCAGTCCTGCCCTTGGGTGGCTTCCAGAGTGGCTGTCCCCCGCAGAAATGTGGGTAGCTGCAGCCCTGACACTGGTGTCCAGTACTTTTAAGCCACTTGGCGTCTGGCAGGCACCTGCTGCGCCCTGGTCTCATCTGTCAAATGGAGTAACTAACACCTCATCTCATCCTTGGCTGCTGCAAGGGTTAAAGTAGTGAAGAACGGGAGGCACCCTATATAGTAGCTCTCACTGCCTGCCCGTGTCCCTCAGGACCCGCAGAGAAGGCGCGATTGGAGTCCGTAGGACCTGGAGGGTGACCGCACTTCCCTGGAGTCGCTGCCCATCCCACGAGGTGCTGGTGGCTGCCCGTCAGTCAGCTCCACCCCTCACAGGCTGGGCCTCACGGTCTTTCCGTCGTGTGTGTGTCTCCGTGGTGTCAAGCAGCCACATTTCAAAGACCACAGCCTTTCTTAGCTACCGGTAGAAATATAGAAACAGCCCTGTGGAAGTGAGGGAATACAGTTAGCCCAGGAATTCCAGAACACCAGCCAGAAAGGGGGAAAGGACGAAGCAAGCAGCTGAGGCACCATGAGCCGCAGAAGAGAGAGGCGCGGGTCGGCGTCGGCCTCTGGATGGCACTTGCTCTGCTTTGTTGGCAGCGACACGCCTGTGTTAGGGCTCTTTCACTCTTGGCCATTCAGTGTGACTGATGTGTTGCTGTAGAAGGACTTTACATTTTTCTGGGCATTCCAGAAATGTCTAGGTGGCCCATCAGTCTCATGGTCCTCTCTCTGTCTGAAAGCCATGCACAGGCCTGTTCCTGGTGGTGACCTCCGTCCGGGAGTTCCACTGTTGACAGTCCCCGCGTCTCTGACCGCGAGTGCCCTGGTGGGGAATGGGAATACCATCGCCATGGAAAATCGCCCGCCCCTCTCCCTTCTCCAGGCTCCCGGGTGCCATGCTACACAGTGAGCGTGTCTGATGGGCACCAGACGCTCCTACCCCAGGGGCACGTGGACCGCCAGGACTCCACACGGGAGCGATTTCGGCATATCCACGGATACGTCATGGTGCTCGTGAACTAGCCACACGGTAGACACTGCCGGCACGGGTGGGGAGACTCACTCGGGCTCCCTCTGAGCCGAGATGGAGAAAGTGGCTGCTGGCTTGGCACAGTGTCCTGCACTGAGGCCTCGGTGTCAGGAAGACTGAGGAGCCACGGTCACGCCCCGAGCAAGGAGACGGCCTCACGTTCAGTGTGCTCCTCTGTGGCATGCGGCCACTTTCCCCGGGTGGTGAGGAAGGAACACTGGTGATCGCACGTGGTACTGGTTCTCGTCCGGTGCTGCCTTGGGCAGTGGAATCCGCAGCAGACTGTGGTGTGTGCTGGGGGGCCTGTCCGCACGCAAACTCAGCACAGACCCTGTGCAGCAAGTCCTGCGGCACGTCGGATCCTGAGCAGCAGCAGTGTGGGTCTCCCTCGCCTCTCCCCTGCCCACAGCCCTTCCCTCATGGTCAGCTTTCCCGGGACAAGACCTACAGGCTTGCTGCCCCTCCTTCTTGCCCTCAGCTCCGTGATTCCTGGTACCCAGCTGGCCTCCTGGGTTCCCACCTGTTCACTGAGGGTCACAATGGCACCACATCAGGACTGTTGAGGACTGAATGAGTCGATGGAAGTAAAGCCCCAGAGCAGGCCGTCTGTGCCTTGGCTGCGATAACAGTATTGCAGTCAACCCTCTCTGGATACGAGTGAGTCGGCCTCAGTGGGATCTCCGGCAGCTTCCCAGTGTCAGATCCACTTGTCCTTCATCATGCCTCCCTTGCCACAGCACTTGGGACTCTTCCTCCCTCTGTTCAGCAGCTCCAGGGTCTCCCCGGTCTGTCGCAAGGGGCTTCTGAATGGGAATTACATAATCGCAAAGGCTCAGGCGGCCACTGGCAAAGTGGGCAAAGGGGAAGCTGCACAGGAGAGGTTGCTGTCCGGGGAGGGGCCCGCTGTAAGAGGGTGTCTCTGAGGTATCTGGGAGGTCTGCCAACATGACCCGGTGACCATCTGGAATGACGCAGCAAAGGAGGAGGCACTGGGCTTCCCCTGGCAAGTCTGTGAAGCCATGAACACCTGGCTGGAGTTGTGTCCTCAGCCATCAATAAGTGGTTCCAGGAGGGATCTTTGCTGGGCTGGGACAGACATTTGTGCGATCAAACTTATAAATGTCCTGAGTAGCTAAGGAAAAGGTCACCAGCAGTGATGAAGACTACAAGTAGAGAGAGGGACTGAATCTTAGGAGACCCTTCCCTTGGATGTAGACCCTACCCTTTTGTGCAAGATGAGCCATGCATTCATTACCCACCAGGGTCTCGGATCCGACACGTAAGCTGGAGG